GAGAGAGAGAGAGAAAGAGTCGACTCAAGTCACGTTTCTTGTCACGGATCGAACATGTGACATTTCGTGACTACGGAGACTTTTTCGTCCGCGGTGCAAAACATCTTCAGGTTTCTACGCCTCAAATAGATATCAATCAAGTAGAGTCCCCTCGATCGTACACCTCATAAACAGTTTCATTGACAGCCTCAACTTTCCGCGCACGGAACACTTTTTATTCGTAATAACAATAGTCTGACATCCTATATTGAAAACATTCTTAAGCTAAAATAAAACAAAGTAACATAATATAATATACTTCTAAGATCGTCACCATGAAAGCATAATTTTCTATTACACTTTAATTTATAAGAGAAACTTTTATAAACTTCTTTTAGAAAAATATCTAATCTTATCTATTTATTTCAACCGTCGATAGATAACTCCCATGACGACGAAATTTTTTTATCCGATATTCTCGTCTGAAAACGGAATATTCGGGCGGATGTATATTATAGCGCATGGCCGGTCAGAACGATGATTCGCCAACGTGGAATTTGGAGAATACCACGCCGCGTTTTTCGAGAGCACATCCCGTGCCTCGTATAAAAATAGTTCGCCCGGTATTACACGCGGTTTCCTCACGCGAATACCGTTGCTGCTCTCATGTTAGTGCGGAAAAAATGGCGATAATACTTCGCATCGTACACCGAGATAGAATACTCGATCCTAATGTCTGAGGCCACTTCCAATCGTAGCTTCTATCAAAAATTTGTTCCCAAACGCAAATTAATATTTTTACTTTTTAAAATAATACAGATATAATACAGATACAGATATAATAATACAGTAACGGTAATAATAACATATGATGGAAAAATATGCGGTTATCGAGGAAGAAAGATTAAAAATATCGTTAATATAAAATGTCAGAGTATAAACTTTTGAAGTTTAAATGTTTCAGTTTGGAGAGAGTTCAAATGCATGTCGATCTATCGATGTCGAACTATTTTCGCGGCATGGACCACTGTTACGGTAAACAGAAAATATCACTAGCGTCGAAACCTCGGTGCGAAGTAGCGCGTTAACTCACGGGCTTTAGGAGTTTGTTATTTCGGTTTTGGCGTTAACTCCCGCGAACCAACGACAAGAGACATTCGCCAGACCACCCTGAAATCGTTTTTCCTCTCCCCTCCCCCCCCCCGTGTCTCTGCCACCGGTTACTGACTTTCTACGTTGCGTCGTGACCAATAGTGTTTGATGGTGCTAATGCTGAGCCTTCGGGCACGAAAATAACTAAAACGCGTGCGTTACGGCAACGGCGTGATGTAAGATTTTCCACGGTATACAAACGGAAGTTTGACGCAGAAAATACCGGATCGGAGCACGCGCTATCGGATAATTCGATTTCGATACACGCTCGGTTCTCCTTTCTGGCGGAGCGAATCTTTCTTCTGGCCGGGATCCTTTATATTTTACAGATTGCTCACTTATCTTCGCGACAGTCTAGGGACAACAAAGGGACGGGCGAGAGAAAGAAGTCGAGGATCCGCAGGACAGAGCGGCGTTGGCGACGAACGCTAAAAGTCTGTCGGTAGGATTGCAGAGTTTGCGTTTTTACGTAGAGTTTTATCGGGCGGGTCGAATCGCGCACGCGGCCGCAATTAATCGCGTGGAATTCGTGTCGCGGCCCCGCCGGGGCCCCATCGAGGACGATCAAAAAGTCCTTACCGCGGTGAACGCGGGGACGCGCCGCGCGAGCACGCAACCAAGAGAGATCCTCCTTTTCTCTTCCCGAGTCTCTTCTCTTAGCGGGCCGGCTCCTCCACAAAAAACACTTTCAATGGACCACACGCGCGACGACCTCGCGCTCGACGAGTGCGCTTCTTACAGGGTCAGGGGCTTATGTCATCTATCTTAGGAAGCTGCGCTCATATTCAGCCGCGGCGACACTCCAATGCACCGCTCACAGTGGGACCTTTTATCTACCGAAACAGCAGAGAAGCCTTTAGGCCTCGTGCACATCACGGAGTAATGAGCGATGAAATGGATGAGCTCGTTTATTAACTCTATTACTACCCTATTGTGCCCGAGTCTCGATTTAAACACGTACAACAGTTAGATGAAAGTTATTTTACCATCATGTTCCAATGATTTTTCAAATATGTAAATAGATATTTTTATCATCGACTCTTTTGAATAAGATTTTCGAGCCGTAATGTTGATTATTGATTAATGATTATTGATATCTTTTACATGTCAGAAGTAAATTATTTTTCTATACTTAACGTGTAATTTAACTTGTTACCTGATTATAGATCGGTATTAAGTAAAATTTAATATCTCGCGGAATAATCTATCATTGCATATTTAAATGAACTCGCAAAGACCAATATGTGATTAACGACACTACGAATTAAATAGCAAATAAAAAATCATTATCAAGTAAAAAAGGTAAAAAATATCGCTAATAAATTTTATATTTTTATATGAAGAAATTTTTATATGAACGATAAATTAAATATACATATTTACAAATTTAAATAAAATTCAGGTATGAACTAACTTTTCTATATTCTGGAACATTAGATTTGATTTTAAAACAATGTGAAAGAATGTGAAACAATGTGAAAAACAATGTGAAAGCGGTAAATAAGAGTATTATCTACAATGTGCAGTGCTTATAATTTATTCTCTATCACTAATGTGTACGCAGGAAATATCAACTAGCGTAACGAATTTTATGTAAACTATGTGTTGAGAAATATGAATGACAAATTGTCCTTATCATTCAAACATATCGCTCAGGGATATTTCCGATAAAATGATCGTATCACCTCCTTTCCCAAGTGTTTCTTTTATACCAAAGATATGTTACGCCACATGTAATCGCAAGCAATAAAAGAAGAAAAAATACTGATACCCAAGTTAATATTTAAGAAATTTACAGAAAAAAAGACAGTTTCTCGATATCGACAGTGATATCGACTTTACTTTTCATTACAGTGGCCCACGTGGTTTTTCCGCCCAGATCTTCCGCTTGGCACGCCACTACCGACGAGTCACGTTCCAAATTCGAGTAACATTCCTACTTCGTCGCCTCTACCATCTCGGACACATCTGGACGTTCCGAAAGGGCCCGAGTCTTCTTCCAACAGCAACAAAGTCCATGGACAGACGCCAACGATATGCACAGTGAGTGACACGTTTGATCATTTGCAATTTGATTCTGCCAACTAGACCGTGATAATGTGTGACTGTTGTCTTGCCAGTATATAAATCTTACAAGTGACCGAATCACCAAGGTATGGAAATTTGTGGCAAGTCAAAAATATTAATGTACATTTATAAATTTTAGAAAAATATATACTATTCAATTGATTCTAAAAAAAATTTGAAAAAAATATAAATTTAAAAAGATGAATAATATGACAATGTGTATGCACGCCAGAGGTATATAAAAAAAGTCTTGTTTCTTTTTGAACAAATTAAATTTATAGGGAAGCGATAATGGTGTCTCAATAGATTGATCAATACGAATTATTAACAATTATTTTAAAATCTAATCGATTATTAAATCACTTAATAACAGTTAAATGCCGATAATATGCGCGGTAAGCGATACTCATTCGCTCGTTGGCGATTTTAATTAATGCACAATATCGTTAATGATGTCGATTATTCTTGACTATGATTGTTATTAAATTATTTGACCGCAACTTTATGCCATTACAAACTGTACGAGTTGTGCGTAAAATCGTAACGCAATCGTATCTCACGCGTACGAATCGCCAGTGTTAGCGCACTGGCTTATTAAAAATATCTGAATAAATTAATCGATTTTTTGCGCGTCTTATCGCGTAACGACGGGATGGAGTTTTGCCGAGCGACAAAAACAACGTTGCAGTTAATTGAAAAGTATGATTGTTCTCTTGACTGGTAATAACACATAATAAGCAGTAATTTCGTATAAAATTACGGGTATATATGTATCACGCGTGTAAACGGTGGCAACGAGTTTCATAGCCTTCGAACGAGGTCGATTGTCATTCGTATGTGTTCGATCGTGTTCGTCATCGGTCAGGGACCGGAGTAATTTCCATCGCGAACCTAGTATTTTGTCGCGATAGCGTGCTGACAGGTGACATCGACGAACTGAAATACGAGCTTAGCACGAAACGATATTTTCCTGCGTGCTTACATGCCGTGATTTTGTCTCCGTCGTGAATTAATGCCACATGACGTTCATCCCATTAACTCCGAACACTCCACGACTCTCGTACTCTCTTGCGTGCTTTCAACATTGCGATAATTCGTTTTGCTGCTACGTAGTCATATAGCATTAGAAGAAGTATGATAAATGCGCACACCCGCATATGTGAGTTGTAATGTTTCTTGTTTCTTTTTAGTTGCTCGTTTATTTTATGTAGATTAAAGGGATATTGACAAGTTTTGAATAATACAAGCAAAGTAGAATATTATATCACTGATTTGCATATGTTAAAATTTTCTGTTTTGTCTGATAAATATTGACAAGTTATAAATAATAAGAAAATGTTGAATCAGCTGCTTTGTATTAAGATTATTTTCCATTATGTCTAAATATCATCTCGTTCGATTGACACAATTGACACCCAGAACTATCCCATCGACTGTTCCGTCCTCGTGTTACCTAGTCACCCATGTCGCTGGAACTCATTTCCGATAGGGGGAGGTGCACGGAGTTTAACGGTCGGCGACACGGCACAGAAACGTACCGGTCGTATAAGTCGTTACCGTCCCGACACGGGGCGCGATCGATATTCAATTTACAGTTTTGTCACAACGGTATTGCGTGTGCTTCGTGGAAAAGTGGCGTGGCGCCTCATCGACGTTGCGCCCCGTGGGAGTTTATTCGATCGGCGCTGGTATTGGCGTGGTCTGAAACCGCTGGAAACCGCGTGGGCGACGAACGGCTCGTTAGAGCGCCTCGCTGTCGTGGTCGCTCGTTAGCGCGGACGATGCCGACCGTTACAGTCATTTAAACGCGATGTTTAATAAACGCACGCGTCCGGGACTCGCGAACGGTGTGCCCTCCATAACCGCGCCGGAGGGGCCTTTCCTGGGTCGACTTGCCTCCTTCCTCCCCCTCCCCCTTCCCCCGGTCACGATTGTTATCCGCGCGTCGCGCAAATCGCGACGCCCGGATATTAATTATCACGCGGGATCGCGGGTAGTCGCTTCGAATGATCGATCTGGTCGCCACGATTAAAGACGGCATCCAGGTGGGCGGAGGAGGCAATTTATATCAGCCCACGGGCGTGTATAAGTCACGATGACTTTGAGCGCATGCACCGTATCGAAAATAATTTTGTTCGATATTAATTAGGCTTTGAAGCCTGAGAAGCGATTGCAATGCGTTTAAGAATAACGACGTTGGCTCAAATGCGACGAACGATTGACAAAAGTATTGTAATAATGATTTGTGACACATGCGACTAAATTCTTTCACTTGAGTTTAAATTTATATGGAGAGAGTGCGGCTTAAAATTTCTATTTTTTTCGATAGCGCAGAGATTTAATATTTTTTTGAAAACTAACTTTTACGCAATATATAATTTCAGATGTTTTATATTTTATATAATATTTTTATATTTTTTATATAATATTTCCCAAAGTTTCCGTCCAAAATATGCTCCAATTTTAAGACTGACGACGATACGCATGTGAGCTCCGCTCACAGAGAGAGATCGAGCAGTGTCATTTCGGAGTTTATTTCTCCTCGTTCGTAGGTTTACGATGCGCGGAAACAGCGATAGCTCAGACCTATTTTTATTTCTCTCATGAGTTATCCGCAGCCACTGTTGCCCCATTTATTCTCATTGTAGCCTCTCGTCGGCACAGTCGTAAGGCAGCGTGGTATCTGCGAACGTTGTTGCTATGTATTTTCCGCACGCTCCATATCGACGCGCACGGTCGTGCTAATAAATGTGCGTTTGTAAAAAAAAAATTGTTCAGTTCCGAGAAACAGTTACTGCAAATTGCGACTGTGCGGAGGTACCTATATACCCTGGCGCGCGGTTACGCGATTCTCGATATTCTATCCGGATCGTTAACGGCGATAACGCGCAGTGATTTTATTTCGGAGGATCAAGAGAGATACTCTCCTTCTCTCTCCCTTTCTTTTTCACCCTTTGTCTCTCTTTCTTTCTCTCTTTCTCTCTATGCGCGCGCGGATTGCTCGTCGAAATTCGAAGCACGCGGCGAGCCTTAACCCTCGACCACCGCGTTCGATTTGGATAACATAGCTACCATGGTAGAGGAATCCAGTTCTGATCTCCGATAGAAATGTATCGCAGTACTTTATGCGTATCGCAAGTGTTGTTACTCCGGACTCTCTATTTTTTTCATTATTTAACTTCATAAAAAGGCGAGGTCGCTCGGCTTGTTTCCCAGATAGATCCTAATTATCATTAATCGTGGGAGAGAGAATTTACTCTTCCTACTTTTATCACAGGCGGTATTATGGTATTCACCTTTCCGAATACAAGAGCTTGCGAGTTATTCTTTATTATGCGTGCTCGCATTTCAGTTAAATCGAGCGTCTAAATGCAACCGATATATAAGGAATACCATGCGCTCCAGAAACATTTTATCTACGCGCACGCCCGAATAAAAATGTATCTTATCCGAGGGGGTAACGAATTTATCGCGGCGGGGTTACAGGCGCGGTTTTGAATGCGATATTTTTAGCGAGATATCGATGCAGTTAAATCGCGAGAATGGAGCTACCATTTACTATTCCTTCCGTACGTAGCGAAACTTTTCGTAGCCAACTGTAGGTGTAGCTAATAAATGTTTCAAGATTTTTATAATTATGCTTTTATATTAGAATTTTGTTAATCCCTTAATTTATCAAAACCTCAAAAATAATTAAGACACGATAACTAATTATTGGTTGAATATTGATTGATTATTGGTCACGATCAAGTATATAATACTTACTAATGCATTTTAGTTAACTGTAACATTTTTTAATATTTAAGTTAAATATGTTGAAGATATATTATGTATAAAAATATTGCATATGGATTCTTCCTCCTCATCCTCAATCAGTTACTCAAAACAACAATTAACTCGTAAGTGAATAACGGGAATACCAATTAAATATCGATCACACAGAAACCGGTTAACGATAAGTAATCACGAAAATTTTCTTGATATAATAAAATCTTGATAATTGGTTAAGGTTAAAACCATCTTAGGAAACGGTCTCTGCGAGAGATCAATTATTCACCGGCAATAATTAGTCACATAATAATTAATCGAGAATCGAACAGCGGTTAATCGATCGCAATGAGAAAACCGGCTCGAAGTTAATGACTAACGATACCTAAAGCTAACGGATTGACGGAAAAATTTCAAAGTAAGATGTATGAGGTACAAAGTAGGTTTTCAAGTTTTTCTTCGCGGCTTGTCGTATCGGTACGAATACATACGTACCGGTTGTTACTAACTGGAACACCGGGGGGGGGGGCAAAATCTAATTGCACGATCGTTTAATTAGATCGTTGGCACTCGCGCGGTCTCGTCGTGCCCTTCATGCCGAACTCGGTTTGTCCTTAAGATACGAATCGACCTTAATTCACCTCGTCTACGGGATTAATCTCGCTCGCGGATGCTCGCGGTGCGCTCTAAAATTAGCGCGAACGTCAATTGAGCGCAGTGACTGCACGCACGCGTCGGTATATACATAGCACACATCGATTACCTCATACGGGCTTTTTTTTCTCTCTCCTTCTCTTTCTCTTTCTCTCTTTCTCTCGCTCGTACGACGTAAACGCGTTTAAACTAGCGCTTTGCGTGGCGATCGCGGACGACTTATCGGATCCGCCTCGGGCTATTCTAAGATGGATTTCATTATCGCGAGATGTCTTTGATCCCGTCTTGTAAACGCGTTTTCATTTAACGCGATGCGATAATGGCAGTCAGCACGATAGGCGTACTCGAAATTAGAGGCTCATTTATACCTAAAAGAATTAGGAACTCTTATTTTGTTCAAGGCAAACCGCGCTTTTAAATATCGCTTTTACTTAAAAACAATATCAAGTACTTCTTTAATTATATATGCATGTGACGAAGCTAAATATCATTAAAATGAGAGTATTAGTCGCGCTAATGGTATTATGTTGCTATGACTACAAATGTAATCATAC